GAAGCGTAAAATTGCAGAGATGGAGCAGAGGCCCTCCACCACCAACCATTTCAGTAGCGGTGACATTCATGTGGCCTCGGGTTCCACGGTCGTCGTGCAATCTCAGCAGGAGCGTGTCCAATCGTCTGGATGGCAATCAGAGATTGGGGACTCTGAGAATTGATTTTTAAAAAAAAGGATGTCGATTTATAAAAAATGATATTTTTTTTTACAAAAAATTATGTCATTTTATGATATCATTAGAATACAGATGGAGAGGGTACACATTTCCAGAGGGCGGGGGTTCTCTTAGAGTTGGGTTGGAATGTTTTGAACGGGATTGTTTTTTTATATACAAAAATTTTTAAAAAAAGTAAAAATACTTGACAGGAAGTGTGTGTGGCCAAAAGGGCATAAATTTTATTTTTGCAAAAAGTGACATTTTTGGAAAGGGATAAATTTGGTCTAGAAACGTATAAGCCTATACCATCAACTTTTAATAACTAGAATTTTTTTTTCCACTCGTCTGGAGATTTGGGTCGAGTCAAATTTTGGTCGAGACAAAATTTTATTTTTTTGAGACGCAACTTTTTGGCTGTCGTTCTCATGTGCAAAGAGATCGTTGTCATTTGGCCACACCCACTTCCTGTCAAGTTTTTTTTGCAGTTGAGTGTTTGACCCAAGCCTTGAGTCTCGACACACTCTCAACTCATCATCAGAATGTCCTTGGGACAATGAGCTCGGAATCCAATTGATATCGCAAACCCCCATCCCCGGGATTTGAGAGCCAGGCACTGTCCACAGAGTGTTCAAAGAATCCCTCAAACACACGTCTCCCAGATTTCAAGACCCCCGGGTCCTATTTGAAAACCCAACAGTCTTCAAATGCTTGAGTCGGTGAAACTGCAGCCTGTCCAGCTGGAACGCTTTGGCTCATCGGCCTCAAAACACCCGGTACTCTGGATCCATTGGAAAACCGCTTGGTGGGTGATGCCGTTTGAAAAGGTGTGGGGCGTCGAATCCCGTTTTGAATGGCATCGCATGGCCTCTGGAAAACCCCGGTGCTTTGGATCCATGGGCCATTGGAAAAGTGTGGTTTTGAAACATGGATACGGGCTCTGGAATCGCGTGACATTTTGTTGAAAATATCTGGATTTGAAACACGGTGAGAGTGGTTGGAATGCATGGACATCCATGGAGTTGGGGTCTTGAAATCCATTGCGCTGGCTTTGGAATCCAATGAGTTGGATCTGACATCCTGGGAATTTAGGTTGCGGTTGGGATTTTTTTTAATCATTTATATTTTAGCTTGTAACTAGATATTTCGCGGGAATGGTATGGGCTCCTTTATGATGCCGTCTGTATTTGATAGAAAAATGATGATTTTATGGAAATGGAATATTTGGAAAAAGCAGAAAAAGACGGTTACATATTCGAGAACTTTTAATGCCAAAAATAGAAAATTTTTTTCACTCGTCCGGAGATTTTGGGTCGAGTCAAATTTTGGTCGAGATGAAATTTGATTTTTTCGAGACGCAACTTTTTGGTGTTATGTGCAATTGTTGTCGTTTGGCCACGCCTCCTTCCGGTCAAGTTTTTTTTCATTCGTCCGGAGACTTGGGCCGAGTCAAATTTTGGAGGAGACAAAATTTGATTTTTTCGAGACGCAACTTTTTGGTGTCATGTGCAATTGTTGTCGTTTGGCCACGCCCATTTCCGGTCAAGTTTTTTTTTACTGTTGAGTGTTTGAGTCAAGCCTCGACCCACTCCCAACTCATCGCCGGAATGTCCGTCGGCCAATGACCATGGAATCCAATTCATCTTGCAAACCCCCAGGTACCCCCAACATATCCATCAGGTAATCATTTTCAGGCTCCGTGGCATTTCTAGAACATTCCATGGCGTCATGACGACTTGAGTGCTCTCTGTTTGTCTATAAAAAGGCTTGCACGTTGAGGAGAAGTTATATTTTGACATACAGTCGATTCCAGATGGCAAACTATTTTATTATTAGTAATCTTCTTCCCTTGACACCAGATCAGGTGCTTCTACTCCATACTGTTCCTCGGGAGGTGTTGTGGACGGGAGAGCCGGAGGTTGTGGAATTGGGGGTCGAGGCGCATCCAGTGCTTCGATTCCTCGATCCGGAAGACTACTCTGATGTGACTCGGGTGAAGGGTGTCCTTAAGAGGTTAATCGATCGAGAGTTGCGTCTCCAGACTGATTTGAGTCATGTAAGCCCAGCTTACAGGACTTTTAATCGCTTTGGTATGAGATGGCTTTTAAATATTGTGAATGACTGGTTTTCGAAAGAGCATCTCGTGACAGATGCATTGCGGATTCGCCTAGCCGGCGAAATTCGCAATTGCCTCTTTACGTTACCCTTTGAACAGTGGTACTACTCCCCACCCGAGACCTGCCCGATTTGCTTGGAAGAGATGGTGGAAATTCCTCACCGGACGCAAGGCCGGCATGAGTTTCACGAACAATGTCTGGTCAATTGGATGCGCACCAGCAGTCAAAAGACTTGCCCCATGTGCCGAGAAGCCATCTACATTTAACTCTATGTCAAAGAGACTTTTTTTAAAATATACACGAGGCAAACATTGGGTGTTCTGGTGGGGACCTCTTGGGCCATTGAAATCATTTCAAATGGCTTCTGCGGAGGCTCTCTGGTTTTTTTTTTTTTGTGGGTCAAAATTGGGCGCGAATCTGTTGGGCACACATTGAAATCAATTTTTCCTTGAAATGGCTTCTGCGGACTGGTTTTTTTTGTCATGGCCAATGTTGGGTCGTCACACATTTCAAATAAACAAAATACTGCTTCACGACAGGGCAGTGAGAACATTTCAAAAAACTGCATCATGGCAGAGCAGTGAGATCGAGGCTTGAGGAATCATTCACTTCATTTCATTTTGTCGGTTTGCGTTTTCAATTTTATTTTGCAAGGGTCATGGTGCTTAGCTATTTTTTCCGAGTGTCTGTAACCCTCCTACTTATTGACCACAGCCAGTGATCTTGACTTTGGTGCTTTACCGGGAACTGTGTCTTTATTATCAGTCCACTGCGGGACACTTTTAATTTGGGATTCCATTTGTTACTAACTCCAGCTCTGATGAAGTACGTTTGGATAAAACTGATGACCATATGAAAGTTTTAGAAAATGCATTATAAGTTATGATGTACATAATTCCTTTTACAGGCTGCAGCCTTTTTAAAATTTAACTTATAAATAAAAAGAAGTAAAAGTAATTAAGTTCCTTACTTTTTTATAACATCTAAGTGGTAGCGGAAAACATATTTATCACCAAAAAAATGGCGTTAAAATTTCAATTTGATCAAATAATCTAATTATGAGTCTAAATTCTAAAAATACTTTAATTTACTCATACTAGAAATAAAAAACCCATGAAAGGGCTAAGGAGAGCAGTTTTATATTATGAGTAAGCAGTCATATTTCTGAACTTGTATTTCGCCAGAACTATTCGACCACTTCAGTTCAAATTTAGGGTCACTTAAAATTGATTTAAAAACTTGTGCACCTTATAATTTTAAAAAAAAAATTTATTAAAATAAAAAATAACAAATAATTAATTTAACGTATCTCTGGAACAAATGAAATTAACTTTAAGACCCAAGCTTGCTAATGCTCTCCTGCCTAAGCTATTGATACCATATTTCCAACACGCAATACTCTACTCCCCCCTCAATAATTTGATATTCAAAAATCAAAATCCATAAATAAAAGCTATAAATACTCAGAGACTTCAAGACTTAAAAAAATATATCACTGTTACTAACAAGGAAATTTATGCTTCGAACCAATAAGATTTAGTTTTAAAACAATCGCAAGTTATTTTTATTTTGCAAACTGCACAAATTTTTGCATTACAAATTTAAAGTCATGTGTCAATTCATTAGAAAAATACATTCATACCCGTAGTTTAAATATGTGCAATAAAATGTGTTTTCGTAAACAACTTTTTTAGCTTTCTTTAAATACTAGATTTTGAGCTATGACCATTTAAATTACGTACATCAAGCTACCTCCATTTTTTAAAAAACTCATTTTATGAAATGTCAATTTTTGTCCAAAATTTAAGACAATGACGATTAAGGGAACACAGGGATTTTCTCAAAAATTTAATCCTTGTAGTGTTCCCATTTGATGAGAATTTTGCTTTAGTTATAATTCATATAAAAAAGGCAACGCTTTTTTTTATTGGTGTTTACGTAAACTTCAAGATATCGATTTTATCATTTAATGAATCAAAAACTAAAAATGATAGAAGAAAAAAAAATCGTTAAAATAGAAACTACATTAATAGTATTCATACAAGTTATGACTAAACATCAAACTACTAGTAAAAAAAAAATGTTCCGAGAATATGCGTGCGTCAATTCAACTAATTTTAATGTAAAAATGAGTAATGAAATATAGGTAAAATAACACAGATGAACTTTTGACGCATATTTCTGTATTAGATTTACATTAATCATAAGTTAAAACTAACAGTTGCGAAACTAACATCCCAGAAATATACATCCTTATGAAAATCAGAATGTTATCCTATTACATATTTATTAAGCTTGTCAAATGTCTCAAGGGAAAGCCAGAAGAAAAGCCTTATACAATTAATTTTTAATAAATAATGCAAATATAAGAACCATAAGGAAAGATTGAGTATAGAATAGAATTAAAGAAAATTCTAAAGACAAGTTTGTTTTTTTAAAAAAATCAGTTATTTAAACTGTATCTCTAACACAGAAAATAATATTTTCTTATTATTATTGTTTTGGCAAAAAAATGTCAAAAATGCTATAAAGAAAATGCTATTTAAACAAACTTGATTTAACTTTTATTTAAGAAAAAAAAATCCAGTCCTTTTCTACTTAATTGTCACCCATTTAACACTACTAAACAGGCTTGAAAAGTTTTTAATATCTTATATTTCCAAAAAAAGTCAAAATGTATTTATCTAATATTAATTGAATATATAATGCTGTTTTAATTATTTCAGGGTAAAAAGCAAATTCCAGAATGGGCCAACAAATAAACAGACATAAAGAGACCAAGAAGTGTTAATGAGTTTTGATTGTACTGAGAACATTAAAAGATTTTTCTTTTTTTCCTTTCAAATCTTTGAATTTCTTTTATTTTGTCATAGAAATTTTAAAAGTTATTGCTGTAACAGTAACAATGACATTCTGATAGTAAATGGAAATAACTTAGTAATCAAATCAATCATGCAAAATTGTTGATAGTTGCAACTGACGTAGTGACAAATGCATATTTTTCCATATATTATACATTATATTAAGAATACAGAACTATATTTTCAACCATGTTTGTAAAAAATTTCCATAACATACAATTTGTTTTACTTTTCAATTGTTTAATGATTTAAAATTGACACTTAAGACACTAACATATTATATCTTTGTGAAAACCATGTAACATTATATTACTCAAAATTGCTTTCAGAATTGAAACACAACATTATGAAAAATTATTTTATTGATTCAAAATCTACAAGCTTAAATTAAATCACAATTTATTAAAGGCAGCTATGTCCACACTTTGCACCTAGAAAAAAAAATATTTCTTTTAGTAATGATATTTATGTTAAAAAAGTACATGATTTAGTCTGGACCTTTTCAATGATATGTGCAATTTGTACTGCAATGAGAGAGGTTTAATATTAAATTGTAGAAAAGTATTCTTAAATGAAATTCACTTGTTCAAGTAAGTATAAACTTATATGTACAGTAGGGAACCGATTATCCGGAACGATCGGGACCATCGCTATTCCAGGTAACTGATTTTTGCGGTTTTCTGAATCGCAAAAAGAAGCATTTTTTCATTGTCAAACTCAACTAAAATAAAATATTTGGAAATAATCTTAAAAAGAAGAAAAAAACGATGAAGTAATACACTAATGATTATTTCCAAAATGATGGTAAGGTAAACATCTTTCAAAAAAGAAAGAAAAATCTTAAAATCTTATGAGGAAAAAAAAAAAAAAATTTAAAATAGCGGGAATATTTATCGAATTTCGTTCCGGTTTTTGGTTTTCCGATTTCCGGATAACGGGTTCTGTACTGTACTTAAAAAAGTTTTAATGGTGGAGTAAAGGTTTTAAATGGTAGAAAATTAAGCCAAAATTTAATTTTTATCATTCTTTTATTTACAGTTATTTTGTAATGATAATGGGTATTTATATGTTACTTAATCACAACGTACATTTTAAGCTAAATCTACAATTAGAATATAACACTGTAAATTTAATTTTAAAAAAACTTGATACAAAAAGATATACATATTTTACAAGGGTGATTGAAGAGTGAATAATGAAGATGTTTCAGTTAAAACATTATCTAAAATAATGAGCTAGAAATTTGTTATAGTGGTGATAAATATTTAGCAAAAACAAACTTTTATTACGTAAGTCACAACATTATTAAATGATGTTTTTCACTCATATTCCTCTAAGTATAGCAATGTTTTGTTTTCGATTCAAAGTAACTCATAAAAGCAAAATGAAAATTATAAAATATTTTTAGGTCAAAAACAGACTTCGAAATTTCACTGAAATATTGCCGGTTTCCATAAATGAAATAATTTTTAAGAAAATAGGATCAATTTTAGAAAATTCCAGCTGAACAAAATATATAAAGATTTAATTTGAAATTTTAACATTCTGAAACATTAGACTAAGACAATAGGTTTTCTGACATGAGTCAGTTTTTCAGTTTTAACAGTGGATAAAACCCTCACATCAAAATCCTTAAAAACTGCATTCATACATTTTTATTTCATAATAATCTTTAAAAAGTCAATCCAATTTTGAGTTTACGACTATCAATGTTCAACTCAGTGTTGAACCCAACCCAGAAGTCAAGGAAATGAACGCTTGAAAGAATCACAGGAAATAGATCTAAATTTGTGTGATCAGAAAACGACATAGACTTATTATGATGAATCGTCATTTTAAAAAGAGTTACCTTATATTCATAAATTGTGTCGTATTAAGCATATCAGAATTTTAAAAACTTCGGAGATGTGACTTAAAAAATGATAAATAGCTGCCAATAAACAATTGATGTTGGAAAAACAATGTGGATTAAAGATGGAGCCATTATGAGTGGGGCACATCTAAAAGAAATAACTAATATTCGAAAATTCATGTTTCATAGTAATATAGTATTAAATATATTGCAATTGGAAACACCATGGGGTAAAGCTAAAAACAGGGTTTCCACTCTTTTACAGAGTATCTGCTACATTTTAGATTTTCAAATTCATGATTTTCCATGACTAATTCCAAGAATTTTTCAAGACTTAACGAAGTTACTATTTTCTCCGATAAAAACGCAAATTTAAAAAGCATTAGAATAACATTAATTGAAATGATAGGTATAACCAAAACTGCTATACTGTCAGAGATGCCAACTTGAAAATTATGATTTCAGTAATTATCACACATAACTTTTAATGATTTTCAGTAATCCTCAGTAATATTAAAGTTTTACCTCATAATTTCAATATTAAAGATTTAATGTTTATTTTAATGGTACTATAAATTAAATATTAATGAGAATTCATTATATAATTATCTTAATAATTTATATTCCAAAACTGTTCTGTTTAAAAAAGGATAAAATTTGAGTTTAAGATTCACCTAAAAAGGTACATAAATACATACTTGTATAATAGAACACAAAATAAGAAACTGAAACTACAATAAATTTTTTTTATTTATCTGTTATATGTAAATCTAATTTAGTACTTTGCTTTACAGCTCTTGTCTCAGCATCAGAAAATTTCCTTTCAAAACACACTTTTTTGTTTGTTAATGCTCCAAAGCACGTGCCCTTCCACACTATATACATGACGATAACGTTGTGTTACTTTTTCTTTTTTGGCTTGACGTTCCATTGCATTGAGCACTAGATTACTCACATATACTGGCTTTTTTGCTCATTAAATCTTCGTTAAAAAATAGCGCGACAAAAACGATCGTTTGTTTACACAGACAGTAAGTACCGCTTATTTCTGTGCTGTTGACATGACGGATTGAAAGGGTGAGAGCTAGAAGCGCTACGTTTAAAAGGAGCATTCTCACTCCGTCCAAAAATGCATTTCGGATCGCCGTCCGACACGATTCAATGAGAATGATTCTTAAAGGGAAAAATTATAAAATAAAAATGAAACTTTTGGATGAGTTTTCCGTAATTTTGGGGGAGTAGCCCGTAATAGCGTAATGTTGTCAAAAAATCCGTAATAATTACGGTAAATCCGTAATAGTTGGCATCTCTGTACTGTGCATCTTCATATTTATAGATTTTAAATTTAAAAAACAGAGTAATGAAAGAGTTGAAACAATAAAATAGCAAAAAAAAAAAAAAAAATACAAAAGCAAATAATTTTTTTCTGCAGAATTATATTCTAAAGTTACTTTTCATGTTCATCAGAAAGGAAAGAAATACTCCTGATTTTTCTGTTCTCATTTCGGAAATAAAAAAAATTCGCCAATGACTGGTTTGCTTTAACTAGAATTTTAAATTTATAAAATTTTAAAAAATAAATAATAAAAATTCTTAAATCACAGAGAAATGATGCTTTTTCCTTCATTTTTTGAAAGAGCACCATAATTTTTAAAGAGCATAACAAAATAATTTTATATTCTAATAAAATATGCCTGAGTGGTGATTTTGTTCGGAATTCAGATATTTGAAACAGGATGAAATTGGCAGGGGGGATTCCATTTTAAAAATTAAGATTTTTTGGAGACCTAAATCCATGACTTTCCAAGATTGTTTATTTTAAAAATAGTAAAAATCATGACATTTCACGACAAATTTTGTTCAATACTGAAATTCATGACTTTTCATGACTCACCCTGCCTTTAACAAAGCAAAAATTAAGCACTTTTAAGGACTTTTTTTGAAGAAAGTTAGCACTTTTAAGAAAAAATTATGGACTTAAAAATTGTATGATTGTTTATCATCGAATACCACCAGTGACAGTGCAAATTATTTACCTTTCTAAAGAAAATCAATAAAAAAAATAGTAAAAAACATTTTTATTATAATTTAAGAACTGATATAATTGTATTAATTAACAGGGCTCGTCAAAGAAGTACCAGGTAAATTTTGCAAAGCCAGGTCAGACTTTTTATAAAACACTTTCAGACATAAAAGTTAACGTATGAAACTAACCTATATTCCATTTTTAATGATTTCATTGAAATTGAATTGTAAAACTAAGTGCAGAAATTAAGATTTGCAATTTTTTTCATGCATATTTTTTAAAAAAAAAAAAGAGTAAATAATGAAATTTGGCAAAAACATGGAAATAATTATTACAACAAGTTTTTATATTCTGCTACTAGACCAGCAAATGTGTTATATTTACTTTTATGATGAACTTTACCAAAATTATTTCTAACCAAACCAGTAATTAAGAATTTTAACTTTTACATAATGTTACTAAACATTCTGGCGAAAAACATGAACAAATTTTAAAGCAACCAAAAATTGAACAAAAATTAAAAACAGTATATTAAGTTGCAATGTTAACTGAATGAAATTATTATCTAAGGATTAAAATCTAAGGATCTTTAAGTTGAGTAGATTTATATTTTATGAAATAATCTGCTTATTCTTAAGAAATTAAAATAATTGCGTAACAATCTGAAACTTTAAAAAAACTTGGTTTTCAACAAAAACCGATGAAAAACCTAGGTGGGCTGGGATTTTTCAAACCTTGTTTCATGCAGATCTGTTTATTTTTAGTACAATCATGAATTTTAAAAAATGTTATGATTTCTATAAATTTACGTTTACTTATTACACATTGAAATATTATACAAATTCATTTAATTCTTCAAGATTTTATGAAATAGTTTTCGTTATAAATTCTAGTTCAAAATTTTTTCTGATACTTCTTTTCTTAGCGTTTTACTTAATCCCTATAAGCAGATGCATTGCCAATAGAACTGAATTTCTTGAATTCTGTCAATTTTGAAGGTTAGTGTGAGTCTTCTACTTAGGTACCTTAAAACTGCAACCCCCCAAAAAAGCACTATCTCTTCCATGTGCAGTATCCGCTATGTCCACACTATTCTTTACTTTTAGAATGCTTCACTCTCCTCATGGAGTATCATTCTAGGCAAAAGGCAGAATATATTAATGAAAGAACCAATATATTAATGACTGGACATGCTTTCTTCTCCTTACCTATAGCCTCCCTACACGCATTAATTTTTGTTTCTCTAAAATGCTTTACCCTCTAATCATTGTTTAATTCCAAGTGATATAAGGACGACATTTTGTTTTAAAAAATTGAACTGAAAAAATGCTCCAATCAACTATAGCAATGCTAAAAAATTAAGGACTTTTAAAAACCTTGTACTAAATAAAATTAAGTACTTTAAGGGCCCTTATTTTCCAAAATAAAAATTAAGCAGTTTTTAAGGACCGTGGGAACCCTGTTGTAAAACAATAAATAAACACTGATAAAAACTACTAAAATCAGACTTTTTCGAAGGCTGGGTTACAGTTCTCGTCGTCTGCAGTAACAGGTGAAATTGCGTAAAAACAGAATCCATAGTAGTTAGTCAAAAAATCAATAAATACTTACCAAGTCTTCATGTTCTTGAATAGCTTCTTGCAACCAGTCAATACTAACTTTATCATCCTCAACGATTGCAACTAATTGTAACTTCTTTATTCCATAAGCCAAAGGAACAAGTTTGCCTAAAAACCAAACAAAATTAGTAGTAAATATGTAGCATTATGATAAAGAAAACAAGGTCAGCAAAAATTTGACAGTATCAATCAAGCATAGCGGCTTTAACCTTTAACCAAGATAAAAATTTAAGTCTTATTTTTAGAGACTTTAAAAGCACTTAATAATTTTACTAATCAAACTACTTTTTATTGCAAAAACTTTTGATGCAAAATACAATCTTAATTGTTATACAAAATATAACCTTAACAGTCAAAAATAAAACCTGCTGATGGAAATAGGGGAGGAAAATATATTCTTTGTTATTAAAACTGTTTTTCAGCTAACCTCTCCACTGTACACACCAAACTAGGATTTCCATAATATCTTGTAGCTTTCTAGCATAACAAACCAATATTAATCAGTATTATAGCAGAGCAAAATGGAGTCTTTAAATTTAATAAGAATAATTATTTTTAAAAATTTTGCATGCACATGTTTGCTTAAAGTATAAGGTAGTTATAAAATATTAGTTTTTAAAGTTATTAGTTACATCTAAGCCACTGCATAAAATTTCAAGTTTAAAGATACTACCCAGAATAGTAACTATTTAGTTCTAAAATTACTAAAAAAATCCACACAAAAAAACTTTACTCACATGCTACTGATAGCAGTGCTGCTTGACACCAGTACAATGATTTGGTAAGATAATGGGGATCTGGTCATGAGAAAAGACAATTGCTTTGAGTTGCTGCTTTGCTTTGACACAGCTGTTTTGATATGGATGTTCAATCAGTGGCCGATGCAACAATCAGTTTGTTTCGCTTAGTTAATTTTGAACAACCCAAGTAAAACAGTAAGCTTATTTGAAACTTTTTATGAATATTTTTAACTTACATGAAGAAAATAAATTTGCTATTTGTGTAAACTCACAATTGGACAATACCATATTTTTTTTTTAAATTTTTTTTTATTTCTTGGTACATAGAAAAAAATTTCAAAGATCAGAAATTATTCAAGCGTTATTATTTTGCTCACTATATATTTATTATAATATTACTAATAACTGGTTTGCTAAGAATAATATTTTCATTTACAAAAGCTGATAAAAGCAGATATCTTTCAAATTAATTGCCTTTGAACTACGGGCACAGAAATCTCTAAACTACAGATACAAATTTCCCAAAGTTTAAATTTTCCTCCTTTAAATTTTAGCTCTAACAAACTGAAACCAAATTTATAATTTAAAGTATATTTTGTCAGCAAAACAATTTTAAAAAAGTAAAGAATGAAAGGGAAAAAGTTTAAACTAATGATTTTATAAACAGTTTTAGAAGTATATGATTAGGGATTAAAAGGCAGAAAAATTGCAACAAAATAAAACATATAATAAAAATAAGTAAATGCTTACCAGCACCCCACTTTAATCCTTCAGTAGATATAGACCTGACTGCTTCTTCTAATGCTTTCATATCTGTTTCATCATCCCATGGCTTTACATCTAGTACTACACTAGATTTGGCAATTAAAGCAGGCTCTGTAATGTCAATATATATGTATAATTAAAAAATTACTATACATTAAAACAATAATAATACACTCTAACTGAGTCTTTCCACAGAATTCAACTTCACAGCTTTGAAGAATTAGTTCACAAGAAGAAATATGTTACATATTACATATATGTTACATATTATTTACAACTAGAATTCAAATTGAAAATCCCACATCCTAGAATACGGTGATTGTGAGCCCAAGTCAAAAATAAAATAAAAAAAGTTTGAATTGAAAAATTAGAAAAAAATTTAAACATGGTTTTTTTCCTTTTTCTCAATATTTCTTAGCTTATTTAAAATTTTTCACATACCTGTACCATTTACACATACCTATGATGACCTAGATAAGTAATTAAAATTTACAAATATGTCTTTCCTTTTTAAGTTTATGATTAGAAGAACTATTTACTGATAAAAAATTAATATTAGTCATGAATATAAGCTTATAAAGTATCACTCTGGCTCTCCCTTACAAACAAATAAAATAAACTGTGTTTTTTAAGTTCCACCTTTGAAAATTAGATTTCCGGAAACTTCTGTGATCAATGATTTCTTAAAACATCTGGACCTTCGATCTTCGGAAACTTCCAGATCACTGTTAACGAAAAATCCGGAAATCCGGATTTTTTCCAGAGCACAATCAGCCCTGTACTAGGTTGGCAACTTTTCTTAGCAATATTTTTGATTAAATTTATTTACCAATTGAAATATCATGAACTTTAATACTACTAGCTCAATTATGTGTGTTTCATCTGAATCCGTAATTAATATTAAGATTTTGATTGTCAGTTTTAACTTCATATAGAATAAATATAAAAAACATTGCGAATAATTAAACCATTAGAAAAAAATATCCACTTTAAATAAATAATAAATGCAGGTAACCTGCGAAAATTAATATAGCATTTTGACAGATCATTTCTATATTTTTGTTAATGTAAAATTTTTAGAAAACTAAGTTGAACAGTTAAATTTAAACAGAACTATGGCAACAGAATAAGCAAAGTTAGGAAAAGAAATTAAATTGTTGCATCAGCAATTCTGTAAATTTGATTGGTATATTAGAACAGAGATATTTTGTCTGTTTCTTGATAGACAAATTTGTTTGTATAGTGTCATAAAACGTAGCAACTGCATTTTGTTTTGAATTTCTATAAAAAGAAATTGTATTTTTGCAAATTTATTTACTCCTCTTAACATATACTTTAGCTTTTATTAATGATAGCTTATCACTGAATATAATCAGTGTTATGCTCAAATATTCTATTTTGATAACCTTTGTTTATTAGGAGATTGATTAAAAACTAGACAATTGACAGTTAGTGTAATAAGCCAAGTCCTTCGGTGAGAGGGAGAAAGTACCCAATGATTCTTCTTCAATATGTAATTCTTAATGGTTTAATATATAAAAAACAAAAAATGGAAACTTCCAGAAGATTTTCAAGTAAAATACATTTTAAAACTGATTAACAATTACTTTTAATAGATACTTATACTTACAATAGATATAGATTAACGAATATAGATATAGATTGGCTCTGTAAATGTAAAATATATAATCATAAGCACATAAGACTTGTGATAGAATCAGCAACAGGCCATGCAACTGATAATAAAATAAGTTGAGCATTAGGTTAGTTATTATCATAACTAACGGTAAAATTCGACATTTTCTTACACAACTCTCAATGAATCACAAGAAAATGGTACGTGAAACTAGTCATAAACCTATAACTGGCTTATGCCAGGGATGAGAGTAGTCAAAAAGTAAAAAAGAGGAAATCCAAGAACGAACGAACACACACACACATTTAGAGGTAGCTCAAAGACTTTGAAGTTTGGGATTTTGCAATGACAAAAAAAAACATTGACACTATGCTTTTATTTGTATTTTCTCATCAAAAACCATGAATTGTACACTCATATATACATATTTCTTATTTATATCATAAAATACAAGGGAGCGAGCCAACACAATATCTATTAGTAAGCATATTTGAAGAAAATCCTAATAAAAAAATAATACATTTTGAACAAGTGTGGTTTTTTTAGTGTCCTTAAATTTCTTTCTGTGGGATTCCACAACTTGAAGTAAGAATTGTTTTTGTTCTTCATCTTTAGTTATTAGTTCATTGTAGTCTGTAATGAGCGCTACGCCCCTTTCGGCGCAATCATTTACTGTCTTTAAACATTTCACTTTCTTTTCACCATCATGTTAAGAATCAAATTTCTTCCATTTCGATGGGGACGAATGTAAGAAATCGCCTTGTATATTCAATGACTTAAATATAATCTAAGATTTTTCATTAACAAAATCATGCAATGAATTTTCATTAACATTTCAGATTTCTTTTTCCTTTAATCGTTCAGAAGCATTGGTTACATCTTCTATATGTTTATCTATTTTAAACAACTTATCAACCATTAAAACCTTATCTTCTGTGCTTACATGACAGCTGAATAGGCTGAGCATGACTAAGTCACCGGTTAAGTACCATAGATGCCTCTTCAACCCATTGCTTACAGCTTTTGAGATTTCTTTGCATTCATTTTTCACCAAATTTAAATGTTTAAAAAATTCTAAGTCTATGAAAGGTGCATCAGCTGCGTTAGAGCAGCGAAACCAGGCTTTCATGTACAAGTGTGTGCTAAAATCATGAAATCGTTTCAACCCTTTAGCCTCTTTTGGTGTGAGCTTGAACTATTCACGAAACATGTATATTTTTAAACCATTTTTAACATCCACCGTGCATGATGGCTTCTGGTGCTGCAAAATGTACTCCACGTGGAGGCACCAGTCCAAGATAAATCAAAGTCAGTTCTAAAAACTCTCTGTAGTCATTTCTTGCCAATGATTTTGTTTCAAACGTAAGATTATGTTTGGCAAATTTAATAGCTTCTTCTTTTAATACTTTCCAATTTTCTGAAGGTACTATTGTTTCTTCTGGACATTTGAAAGAAGATTTGTCTATAAAATTCCAGTGACTTTGGAATATCTTAAACATGAGAACAAAAGGTGCACTAGAATGTCCAAATACTGCAGAAAACACATCACCAATAATTATTTCATAAATATGATGCCTGCAAGCCAAACTGAGGAGCTGTTTTCCAATCATCTGTTCCAATAATGTACATGCTCCTGTGTGAATACCAGGGTTCGCCAAGTGGGCCCACCTTGAAAAAACCCACTTGGTGGATTTTTCACAAATTGTTTTTTTAAAATTTGGTTGAAAAATAATTATCTTCTAATACTGTCATTGGACACATCGTGGAAGTTAACAAATATTTTAGAAATATGCATCAAGCACATGGATGGACAAATGAAAAAAACTCCTTAATGCCCCATTTACCAAATGATACTAGGTGGAGTTCATATTTTGACTGTGTAAAAACTTTTGCATATCATAAATATCAAGAGATTGCTCTTGAACATCAAAATAAATTTAATAATTATATGCCAAAAATACTAAATAATGTTGGGCTTTACCAATAAACTATCAATTTGGAAAAACAGATATCAATTGTTTCTGAAGCTTTAAAAAAGCTTCAACTAGAAAACCTTTGAATTTCAGAACCTGTTATGAATTAACTTACTATCGTGTGATAAATTGGAACCCCACAAACATTTTGTATAAAGATTCCATCAGCCTGTTCAGCCACCTCACTTATTAGCATATGCATCCTGGATTCCGAAATAAGGGGACAATTTTTAAATGATGAACAAGAGCAATTAGCAGAAACTGTCTTTCTAAGCATCATCCAGAATTTCTGCCAGGTGTTATGGCATTCAAAATTATGAATCTTGAATACTTTCCAAAATCAATGATGCTTAACACCGTTATTCTACAGTTTTCATAAAAAAATAGTGGAAAATTACGGGAAAATAAAATATGAAAAAAATTCCAAGTTTCCACAAAATTTCTTTACACTCAGCACCAGCATTCTCTGTCTCTATCGAAAGACACTTTTCAACTTTCAGTTTGGTGTAGAGTAAACTATGAAATAGATTAGGAATAGATAAAGCTACAAAACTCATAAAAGTGTATCACCATCCAAGAGAGAAGTGGATCTTTTTTTAAGTTAACTCTTAACATCTACTGACAATTTTTAACTATTTGGAGAAAGTTTATCACAATTAAAAAACAGTTAAAAATTAAAATATTACTTTTAAGATTTTTTAAATATTATTTTCAAGATTTTATTTGAATATAATTTATTTTGTTTCTCTTAATCATGTTTAAAAATATTGAAAACAAATGAAAAAACATTTTCTATTAAGTGATACATTAAACAACAATCAACAAATTCAAAGTTTTATTTTCTGGTTTTAAAAAAATAAGCTAAAAATTTTTATGTATGCTTTTTTGTAATTTTTAAATTAATTTTTTTTTAAAATTATAAAGTTAAAATTTATCTAAAAATGCAGTATTTTTTCTAAGGTTAAATATTTGAAAAATGGGACAAGTAACTGATACTCTTTATAATTATACGTAATTTTACTTTCACTTTCTATTAATCGTATTATAAAAACATGGAAGACCATTAAATACGTATTCCAGTTTAATTTTATTAAAGGTAAAAGTTAGATGAAATTTTAGTTTTCACTGATTATTAAATTTGTAATAAATAATATAAATATATAAACATAAACAACAAACGAAAACAAAAATATTAATAAACTTGTTCCTTTTTATATTACTGTTGCATTTATATTTTATAGTGCATCAGTTAAAAATTGTGAAAAGTCATGTATTTAGAAATAAAGATTCAAACATGTATTAGTGATAGTGCATTCTTTAAACTTATTTTAATTATAATATATTATTTTATATAAATTTTTTTGGATTTATTTCTATTTTTCAGTTTATACATCACTATTTAATACAAAAAGTATCACAGCAAGTAGTTTACGAGCACTAAATGAAAAAACCCAATTTTTCCCGGGTTTTTTTCAAATAAAACCCAATTTTCCCCGGGTTTT